AAAGAGCCATCTCCAAAACTCTACAGCCCAGTGATGAAGGCACACTCCTCACAACAAAAATGTCTAATTTTGACTCCAAACTCTGAATAAAGCAGAGCAGGTTATGATTGCAGGTTCCTGTCATCTCAGACAAACATCGCATAATGAAGACAGGTACAAGGCAAGTCTTCTTCATCTGTATAGTTTGTAAATGACAGCTAAATTCCCTTGTGAATCTATCCGCTTTGCTTTCAAATTAAAATGCAAGAAAGAAAATGAGATTATTTACTTAGGCCAAACAAAAACTCACCTAAAATCAAATTACTGATATCCTTTAAAATGCCAAGAAATTTGAATTTCAGAAAACTTTTGTTTATTTTTTTAGGAGAAAAAAATAGATCTGCACTACCATCACTGTGACTTTGGAACATGCTTTAAACGCTTCTGATAAAAGGTACCTCACACAGGGAAGCTGCATATTCAGTCATGTGCATTAATACCACTTCTGGTACAAAAACATTACATGAAACATCAGATTTTTCCTTGTAGACACTGTCTGCTTCTACCTGTTTAACCTATATTCACTTTCCGGTGGCATCATATATACTGTATTTGAGCAGCTTAAAAGGCTGGAATGTGGTGCTGACAACTGGAGCAGGCTCAGAATACCAAGCCTTTTCCAAAATTAGCCATAGGTATTGTTTTATCACTAATGCCTTTGTAATTTGGAGATAGATTCTCAGAAAAACACGCTTCCTGCCAGTGCCAAGAAAAGCATAATGGGATGCTAGATGTTTTTTTTTTTCTTCCATAATGCTAAGAGTATGTAATATACACAAATAACAAAATGATAGATTAATATCCCTGTGATGGACTTGAATGAGCTCTTCTGCACAAATAAACTTTAATGAAGACCTAGATATCCAAGTGTCTATGGCAGCAATATCACTGTGAGACAGCTCAACAATAAGACTACTAGTCAAAGACTGAGGCTACAGGCACAGAAATAAGCTCCATGAGCTTGTGCTGCATCCTCTCTCACTGGGGAGAAATTACCTTACAATTTCTGCAAAGGTAAGAGCATGCCCTTCGACCACTAGCATGCTGCAAGGCTATGGTTTTTGTCGACTTGCTCATATGTGCATGCCCTGAGGAGATTTCATGATTAAATTGCCCGTGTTGTGCCAAATTCCCCCTGTAGTATTCTGAAAGTTATCACTTCTGGCCTGTGCTTTTGACCCCCAATTGTAAAATGCTCATGACAATGATCAGAGACACTCAAATGCCACAGGTGAAGGCTGCCAAATAGATATCTGAGCATCTAGAAAGGACTCAACTTCATGTTTCTGATATGAGCAAAGACTGGCAACCAGTTAGAAGTCTGTGACGATGTCAGAAAGCAAAGCCTATTCAATTACCAAGTCTTGGAAGCATTTACAGGATAGCTATAAATGACCAGAGCCTAACTGGCAAGAAAAAGCAGAGGAGAAACGAACTCCTTCATTAGGATCTAGGGGAAAAACAAACAAACAAATAAAAAGCCCTGGAAAGCTTCTGAGAACTTTCTTTTTATATTTTGGTTATGCTTAAAGTGTGAGAACAAACTCTCAAGGCGCAGCTGCCTTGTTTTCACTGCCATATCCAATAAACAAGCAACTACAGACAATATAATCAATTTCGTTTGTAAGTCTCAAAAGGACATGAGCACTTCTCTGCACAATGAAGTAGTTTAGTAACCAGCTATGTCAATGAGAGTGACTCAGGACCCCATCCTCTGTCTGAACGACAGTGGGTGTCTAACTCTGAAACCTACTGGGGAGACTTTTCTTTTTGAGGTTCAAGAGCTACTGCCGAAGGCTACTACAAATTTGCTAGAGTATCGTAGCTTGAGCCACATCACTTAGACCTCCAGGATCTCAATAGCTGAGCATCAAAAGTGTATACAGACACAACATGTGTTATCCTCTCCTCAGACTATCAGTTCCCAGTTTCCACACCAACACACAGTGAGGGGTCATAAGAGAGCCATGACAATAGCACATGACTGGATAAATTCTAGAACACGAGTATAAATATATCAAGAGAAAAGAAAAACAATTACACACTGTTCAGTAAGTTTAAACACACTTTCCTTCATGCCTCCCTTATTTACTTTCTGTAAGTGGTAATGTCCAGTAATATCGCAGGTGCTTCACCTCTTATTTCACAACCACCCCAAAATAATCCAAGTGCAATTAATTAAGTTCTATATCATAATCCACTTTCTTAAGAATAAACCAAACTAACCCTCTGTGTTATTAAACCACAATTTTATTTTTTTCTGAAATATGGAAAAATCATGTTTTCATTTGTTTTCAACATAAATGTTGCCATTTTGTTGAAACCATCACAAAACGTGTCGCTACACGAAAGATAGCATTTCTGGGCTAGATTCCATCCATGACAATTCTGACTTCTGCACAAATCTGGGACCTGGTCCTCTGGTGCTACAAAGAAGCACTAGAAATGGGACATCAAACCACGTGAGTTTTTTCCTGTGCAGGCAGGTACGAAGGTGATACACAAAGCACTGCATTAGCTTTTAAACTGTGTGAGCTACAGCCTGTGAGAGACAGAAGAGAACATCTCAGCTGCAGACCTCTTTCCATCATAGCGGTTCTTACAGATTCCCTCCTAGCAGGCAAGGGCTATTAGCAACCAGACAGGTTACCATTTCAGTGTAAATCAAAGCAGTTTAAAGGTTAGTACACCTTGAGGTGACTGCTCAGCCTTTAAAAAACATGGAGGAAGGTTCAACACACCTCAGCTATCTGACGAGTTCATTGGCTATAGCACAATACCTCTAGCATCATCTCTCTTCCTTTGCCTGTGACATTCAAATCTACATAGTGCTCCCCAGGGGTTTCCAGACGAGAGCCCCTAATCTTGGCAACATTAGACCGTTGTCTTCTTCCTTTGCACGCTGTGCTTCCATTGCATATTATTCTGAAGCTCAAAGATCTTATTGTATTTATTATCAATATAAATCCAGCCCAGAAATATATCTAATGAATTAGAACTGAGGGTCCCATCTGATAAACATGCCCAGATTTTCACGGGAAGCAACAGACACATCAACAGCAGAGTTCAGTCTTCCGGCAACCTTAAGGTAACCCTTCAGTGCTCTCAGATTGCTAAGTCATTACACCAAGCTCACATCCTGGGCTGGGCTGACCTTTATGAGATCTAATCAGGCTAAAAGGAGAGAAAATAAAAGCTGCAGTGGAAAGAAAAGGCTAAACTACTTCATAGGCTACCAACAGACCGCCTAGCTCTTTTGTTTAAAGAATAGTGCTTGTGTTGCCCCTCACCTGGAAGTTAGATTTAACAGTTTAAAAAAAAAAAAGAAAGAAAGAACAAAAAAAGGTCTGAATTAATCAAAAGCTGGTTTTACTTGTAGCAAGTTAAGAAATGTTTTTATGAACAACCTCACCAGCAGAGCTGCCAAGGAGACAAACAGCATGTGGGTGTAGTGACGTCCCTCACTGATACAACAAATTCAAACATAATTAGTTCTAATTCCTTCTAAACTAGTTTAAATGAAAGGTCTATTGTATCAGAGTAAAAAACTAGCAGAATTGCTGAGATATGATTCTATTCTTTAGGCTAAAATCACAGATCTGTATGTCCATGCAGTTACAGAAGTCAGGGCCTTCCTCATACAGTAAGAGCTGCGCATATTCTCTGTCACCTTCTCTATTATTTTTCAGCTCTTCCAAGCAGTGACCCTGTCATGTACTTCAGTACATTCGGAAGTCTCTGGTTGTGAAAACACTGCTTTTCTTAAGAGGGCGGATACAGTCTCCAGCGTGTTAAACAAACACAGCATGAAACACATTTAAACATGAGCAGGAGGGAAACTTCTACATTTGAGCAGTCTATGGCAATACAGTCTCTCCTTTTCTGCTCCTACTTTTTATAATAGCCTCACTCTTATTTATCGCAATACAAAGATGTAAACTTCAGATCTCAACACATTCAGACAACAAGATATCCAAGACCTGCCAAGCCATTCTGTGAGCTGAGTTTGTTTCTTACTATTTACATTGCTGAAGGACTGATCAATCATTTTAACATATTATGAAATCAGGTTTTTTCTGTACATTGAAGCTATGCTTATGTATCCCAAGTGTCAGCAAGCACACATCTCTGGAGCACTGCCAGGGTCTTCTCCAAGTTGCTTTGTCTCTACTTTCTGCATCATTTATTTTTAATACATACTTTAAATTATCAATTTAACATATTAACGTATTAACTAACTTTACTCTAAACCTTTCCTCTTCAGGTTAGGGCTAAGAATTAAAAGATACTCTGAAATACCACAAATCAAGATCAGTCCTTCAAGGTCATATTCAGGGCTTTTCCAAAACTCTTACTCTTCACCCATGCTGACGGATCTCACACAAAGGCATAGAGAGCAGCAAAAGCAGTCTTGTCTCTCCACCTCATTAGGAATTGGTGTGGTGTAAAGTGCCCCTCCAATCCAACAGCCCATATAGACAGGGAAATGCCATTAGGAGGTAACCACTTTACACAACAGCATCCCATGCCAAATCCAAGCACAAACCTGCCAGTAGCAACCCCCAGGATTCACTATTCTGCTATTGCAATACTATCTATTCTTACTCCCTCTTGTCGAACTCATGAAAGATTAGAAGTTGAATTGAGTATTCCTCACACCTTTTTTGCTGTGTCTTCTCGCAGTTGGTCTCCCCACACACTGTATTGTACATTATTTAGCTTGTAGCTTTATCATTGTATTTCAAGATTCAAGGTTTCTAAAAGTGTTTAAATTCAGACTTCTGGGGTTTGCTCAGGAATGAGATGAGATAATAATTCCCTTTCAGGAGAAAGGAAGATGAAAGAACTTAGTCAGACACCTTTTCAGTGCATCAAGATGAGGTACCTGAGAGGTTTTGTAGAAATTTTTTGCTGGATCAGCAAAATCTTTGTTGAATCACCCATCAGGAAAAGTGTGCAAAGCGTACATTAAAATATAATCAGTTAGCATAGTCTTACCTTCCTGAGTTCTGAAGTCATCTTCAGCAAATTTATTAAAGTTGCCACACAACCCACAGGTCTTATTATAGTGCTTTTCTTGAAGGAGTATCTGAATATTCCCACTAGTATCAATCTTCACCACAAAGCCATGCTCATCGCTGGATAGTTTATAATAACCTGCCTCCTTCTCTATAAATATGCCATTGGAGGCAAAAGGTATGGAAATCCTGTGAAGAAAAACAGGAATTTCTCAGAATATGACACACAAAAACCATCGGGGTTTTTCTGCCAGAGTACTTGTTCCCACAGGTACCTTTTTTCTTCCTGCATCACACCTCCATCAAAAGAGAAGCGAAGGTTGAAATATTCTCCGAGATACACAGAGAAACCAATTTTCTCCCCATCCTGGTAGTCACCTGAAGAGATGAGGTATAAACAAATATTATTAGTCTTGGGACTCAGGAGGACAACTTGAAAGTACACATTGCAGGGTTGGGAGCACATCATCTAACATTTTCAAGAGCCATCCAGCTATTTCATCCCATAGTTGTTTAATGTGAAACGGACAGATAGTCCCAGGATGAGGGCTGGCATCAACCACTGGCAGGCACATGACTTGGCACTGTCTGTGGACTCACAGTCTCCCTGTTATCGTCTCTAGACACTGAATTCTCCCTCGTACCATGCACACTGGAGGAGTTGCCACAGGACATGCGCTCAACGATCTGCCTTGCTCTTTCACTTCCTAGTTTCCTTCCAAAAACAATCCATAGCTCAGTGGTAAGAGAAGTGGGTTGAATCCATTGAACTGATGGAAGAACTGAGACTAGGTATCTTTGTTCTTGATAAGCCCTCTAACCATCTCAACTGCTCTTTCAGGGGTGGATGACAAATTGGCTATGTGAGTTGGGGGGCAAATCACTCTGAAATTTTCAAAAGGAGCAGCTCATAGAAATGGAGACAACTTTCTTAGGCTCTGAGAGAGAAGAAGGTGGGGGGGTCAGACATAGTCCTTTCTCTGCTTTGGCCTGTTGTCTAGCTCTGACTTTCTAGCAGCTCCTTGTGCAATGTGCCGCCCATTCTGGACCTCCTGTTCTGAGGCAGCCAGCTCTGCCCAGACCTAGACACTTTACTCAGCAGCGCAGATGGCACTTCACAGACAGGTATCCAAAACCAAAACAAACTCACACACGTATAGTAAGATAGGAATCAAAATAGATTATGCCATGCTTATGTGCCCAATATAAACTTCAAGTTCCTGCTCATGGCAGTTTTTTTAAGATTTTATTGATCACATAAAATACTGCAATAAATTCATCCCTCACATATGCTGGTGGGTTCTTCTACACAGAAAAAAATTGGACCAAGTTGTTCAAGTTGAAGAAGAAAATCATTTAAATGGGTATATGGTTCCTTTTCAGAGTGATGGGATCAGTTTAATTTACTTGTAGTTAGTAAAAAGTCACCTTAAACTAGAACTAATACACAACAGTTACTAGTGAATATATTACTATCTATGAAAAGAGTTTAGTATGAAAATAATATACAGTTTTGGTTCTCATATCATCTCTTGCCCATCCCCAAGAATAACATTGCAAAGGCTCTTGCTAATTCAAATGCCTTTTCTCGTGCAGGATGGGACTTTTCTTACTGGAGGGATTTACCATACAGGTAAAATTAGTTCTACAGGGTCGTGTAGTTCCTAGTCCTGTACTCAGCCACATTCCCCTAGCAAATTCAAAATTAAAAAAGGTCTCACTTCCCCTCTTCAGAAAAGCCAGTAAGAAAATCTCCATTCCTTGACAGCTTACTTATGTATGAGCCATATTACCCAGGGATAACAGAAGCCAAAGGGACAGAATTTCCTCAGAAGTAATCCTACTTTCAAAAAAAAAATATATAAACAAGATCCTTTTATGCAGTGGTCCATTCTATCTGACAAAGGGCAACTGTTCGTCTTTTCTTCTCAGTGATGGAACCCAAGAGAAGTGCAATGCTACATCCTTACAATATTTTGCACTTGTTACTGCTTGGTACCTTGCTCAGACTCACCTAAGAGTGTGAAGGAGCGCTTGTGACAATCCCCAGCAAGGAGGTAACTGCAGTCCCCAGCAAAATTGTAGAAAGAACCATCAAAAGTTTTGATGTGATCATTCCCAAAAAGGCTGCAACGGGAAACTGATGACTCCTGAAGCAAAGAACCTGATGATCCTGGATATCGAAACACAACATAACTTGCAAGGTAAAACAATCATTTTGTAGTTCGGGAATTTATCTGTTGAAATTTATCACCATTCATCACAGTGTGTCCTGGATCTTTAGCTCTAGCTTCTAGGCAGACTGTATGCTTGGCATAACAGTCCATAAGATCAAGTACAGATTTATAAGATGCGCTAGTGAAATGGCTTTTTTGCTTTGTTTTACTAGCCCAAACCTTGCATGGGTAATTTCATTCCTGATCCTCTAAGGAATACCGCGTGTTCATTCATTTGTGCCTGCCTGCAATCCCATTAAAATTAATAGGGCAGTAGCAAAGCCCCATAGTTTGTTCGGCCAAACATCACTGACTTCAGGGAGATATTGTGACTCAACACAGTGCTTGTTGCAAGGTAAAGAGCCAAAAGGACTAACTTTATCGATCTCTCCAGCATGATAAGAATAATGCCTAAGCGAGGATTGCAGGATTAGATGGGCAAAAAGATTGGGGGAGGAAAAAAACTCACAGAAGAAACAGTGAAAATGTATGATAGTTCCTAGACATCTGAAAATAAACATGTTTTCCTACCTGATGGTGCGGTGGCTAGCAGTAGGTTTGTTAGTAGCACTGCCAAGAGGACCATCTGTCAAAAATCAAAGAGATAGATTAGAATATTCTTAGTTTGGGGTGTATAGTCTGTTTCACAACAACTCACCATTTTCTATCCTTTCTTTACAAAGTTATTTTTGAAGTTCTACAACATTTCAAAAAGCCATAATCCATGCAGACTTTCACAGTAATTCAGTTACCCACCCATGCTTCTTTAAATAGGTAATCTAGGAGAATAACTATTCTTTGTACCCATTTTCACTTATTGCAGGGAAATGTGGGCTACCTCCACAGGAAATGCAACCCAATGTACAAACATATTCTGATTTACCCGAGTTAATACACCGCACACACAAAGCCCTTCAATACGCAGCATTATTTATCAGACAACCTGACATGAAGAAGCACACCAGACTGGATCAGTCAACTTGGCTTCAGTAGAAGTCACCTCTGCTGCACAATATTTGCATCCTGCCCAAACATCCACGAAGGGAAAGAATATATAGTTTTTGCATCAGCCAACAGGTCTGGCTGGCAGACCATTATAACCACATGTTTATAATCCACTGATTTCAAAGTGATAATATGTTTAAGATAAGGGGCAAGAAATAAAGGGAGGAAATTGTGCAGAGATTAGAGACCCAGGATGAAAACTTCCATTTACCAAAATCATTTTTAGCGTTGCCTCCTGCTTTCTACAACCAAAACATCAGCCTTTGTTCTCCATATGTCTATTAACTAACTCGAGTACTGCCAGGCCTTTAAAAATAATAATAGGATATGAGCGTCATGCAGATGGTGAACTACGGATGTGTTCTGTGTCAAGACATTAGCAGTTAATGGATGAAAGCTGTAGGGTGCTGCATCTAAGTGAGTTCATTTCAGTGATGATATAAGCGACTAGAGAGGCTTAAATATACCATTCTTAATACATCAATTCCAGGACACCAGGCACACCTTTCCCTAAAATAACTCTCTAATTAAAGGCTAGAATACATTTTGCAAAGACAAATTTTGATTTCAGTTTACAGATGTACACTTCTTTTGATGTCAACTATCCAGGTCAAATAAATAAATGCAGAGTTTGCCTTATTTACGAAAGATGGGGAAAGAAAGATCTGTTGTAAAACTCCGTCTAATATAATGCTGCAAATGCCAGTCTGACATAAGGCTGTTACTGCTGCAAGATAGCTAAGAAGTGGCAACTGCATGGGAATGCAACTACAAAGTAATGGTAAAGAAAACAATAGGCATTATTCTCAGATTACACACTTGCTAGTGTATTTTTAGTGCATGCACTGTGTTATTGTGACCGAATCAGCTATCGCTTTTCTTTGTTAACCCTTCAGTTTTACAAAGCAGGCAAAGAAAACAGACAGGGTATAAAACCCTTCTCTTTAGGCCCTTTCCATCTCCCACACCGTACTGAGCTGCAGACTCAAAAGTTTCCCCCAATTCTAATAAGAGCAGATGCCACTAACAAATCAGAATACAATCAAGTAAGATCTGCCAGTATACAACCCTCTGTAATTTTATCACTGCCTTAATTAGAAATGAATGTACCTTCTTCTGTGCGAGATTCCTCTTGCACACGAACAAGAAGCTCCTCCAGTTGCCACGCATGGTCTATAACACCATTGTTGCCATGTTCCTTCAGATGACAGGACTGGAATGGCTTTGGTCTGAAATTTGTTTTTGTACAAGCCAGGAACTCTTGTTCATTTAAAAGGAAAGATAAAGACCAAACGTCACATCCGTCTGATTCTCAAGACAATAGATCAAATTGCTATCATGTAAATCAGTAGCCTTAATTGCCAGAAAGTTACAATGAGGGGAAATAGTTTTAAAAACTTACATGACAGATAAGTCTTTGAAATATATTTCACATGGGTATGTGTGACAAATCTCACTGGCGGTATGTGTGACAAATCTCACTGGCTGAGCCAACAAGCAGGATGCTAATTTGAAAGACTATTGTTAAAGAGGAATAGTAAGATGCTCCATACCTCAAAGACCACGAAGCCATGTAGTATTTTTTCCTGCGAGCAATTGCTTTAAAGGAGAAAGCAGAAAAAAATTCAGAGCTAGTAATGACCTGTTTTTGTTCTCCAGGTACAAACACATTTGAATTTTGTCACATTCTATTAGATTAACACATTTAGTCCTTGAATTTGCAAACATTTATAGAGGTACCCTCTAGAACAACACATGGTAACAAGTTAAACACGTAAAGCTTGTTTACAGAGGTGGGCACACACTTGTTTACAGAGCTGGGCACAAGCTTTACAGGTAGATGTACAGCACTGAGAAAAAAATGAAGAGCAGACGACATCTTACTTTACTTTCAGTGTCCCATACTTCATATTTTCAGCAGCTGCTATAATAACAAAGGGATTAGCTTTGTTTTCCTGTAAATCATATTTTGCCACTAGTACACAGAATCAGGCCCTCACTTTAAACAAAGAAAACCAATGCAAAACAATAAAAATATGCCTCCTGAGAGTCCCCAGCAGGCGTGCCTGTCTTGTGCACAAGCAATTCTGAGAATGAAGTGAGCATAATCCCTGCACACAGTTCTTAGAAAACAAAAAAAAGAAAAGAAAAAAAAAAACCCAACACATTAAAAAAACCACACATTGTAATATCATCATTTCTTCCTGCAGGCAATTTCCCTTATGATTTCTACAGATGATGAGGCTGATACTTGCAGAATGGTGATGGATTATTTTTGAGACAATTTAGGTGATGAATCTGCTTAGGATACAGAGTTACAAATAATACAAATAATAAATTGATAGCCATACTTACTTTGCCTTGTATGAACTTTTCATGACATCTGTGCGTTAAAATGCTATAGAGATGCACTACAGGTACCGAGTGACAGAAATAAAGAAATACAGACCAAATTGCGTCCTTCCATGTGAAAAGCCAGAGAATGAGATTTTAAAATGAACACTTTCCATCAGGAACTTCTCCTGCCTCTTCTCCAGCAGCAGCAGGGTTTGCTCCACTCTCACTCATGGCAATGTAAGGCCCACACCTGACAGCAACTGGGAAGATGCTGGGGAACATACAAGAAAATGCCCCACATGTGCAGAAACTTGGCATCCACTACAGTCATGGCCTTTGCTGTGCTCCACAGACATCCCTCCAGCATGGGGCAATCCTAGCAGTCCCTGCTGCTGCAAGTACCGGTAAAGGACAATAACGTATCCCTGCAGCTACTGCCCAAAGTGCTCCTCTGCATTTGCAAAGGAGTAACATCTACGGGGAAAAAAATGCAAGCTGAAGCTTTAAAAATTGTTTCTTTAGCATTTTTGCATTAGAGGGTGCAAAAGCAAAAGCTGGGAACCTCTAGATAGAGAAACGAATAAGTATGGAGACTCTGACTCTGCTGAAATCTGCAGACCAGGGTTTTACCCAGTCTAAATAAATCTCACATGACTCTATAGAGAACGGCTAAAACCCTTTCGTGTGAAACTGCCTTCAAGGATGAAGTTACAGCTGAACAAGCAGAAATGGGGCAATAGCAGAGACAACAGGCAGAATGACTCTTGTTTTTCTCTTAGTCTCACTTCTGCTTCTGGTTTTGCATGAAGACAGAGGAACAACATTGACTGGGAATCATTCTCTCCTCTTACATCCAGCTGCCCACTCTCAGCACATCCTTCATACCTCTAAGAGCCTGGGCATTAGCGATCACAGAGAGATGGTCTCAAAACCTTTCACTACAGGAATCCCAGTATTATTCATGACATGGGGAATAAGATCTCCTACAACCATGATCTTTTGTTGTCTTCTCAGTTTTAAACCTTTCAGTGCCTGAGCCCCAAATAAATCACTCCTTTTGATAACTTCCTCTTGGAAATTTAAATGTAACAGGTAGCTTTGATTCATGCTTTTTTGTTTGGCACATACAGAAGATAGAGAGTCCCTTAAAATATTTCTTAAAAATAGAAACATTGCTGGTATTGTTCTGTAGCAATTTCTTTATTGTTATTATAAAAAGTGTCTGGTTCTTCAACAATACAGGCTTGTGTAGTCTCTAACTGTGATGGATGGCCAAGGTCTTCCTTTATTAGCTTTTGTGCCGCTGCCTTCACACCCTGAGAAGCTTTATCTGGAGCACTAGTGAGGGAGAGAGCAAACCACATGAAAATCTGAGCCCATCAAAAGGTGCTTCAGAGAGGAGCAGGCTGCAGGTGGGCAGGTTATTGAACTTGGACTGAGCCTCTGAAGTCCACAAGCGCTCGGCTGCATGATCAGAGCCTTGGTCTACACCGGGGGACATTTTGTGATTCACACTGCCGACGTTTAATAAACAGTTCAGATAAGCCAGACATCATGATATTTCTTAAGTGTCTTAGGGACCTTGGGGGACATAACAAAGAAAATTAATTGAGATAGACACCCAAAGAACAAACTTCCTTTTTCCCTCCTGGCTCTGTTTTCTCCCAGAAAAAGGAAATGGTAATTAAAGAGCACATTTATTGGCTGATATTGTACATTGTTCCAATACAAAGCTTGGTGATGCTTGGGTAGATCTGACACGTAATTTTATAAATAGTACACCCAAGACACAGGAGGAACTATAGAAAGGACTATGCACTGTTGCTGGAAAGCCCCCTATAGCCATTTCCTGCAACATAATAGGAAGGACCTCTGAGAAAAATTATCCATAATTCTGCTTTTCATTGCTTTGTTCAAATACTAGGTCACATGCAACAAGTCCAATGTTTCCTAGGAGTTATATGATATATGTACTGAGGCATTAGTCAGCATGTCATGTTTGTCATCAAGTTTGTTACACAAATATGTACGCAAAGTGCCCATATTGTGAAACCTGCAATGCTGAGTGTAGGAACAGTGATGAAACACACAGCACCTGAATAACAAAAACTAGCCAAAATATCCTGATGTAGGTAAACTGGAAAACTAAAGCCTAGCAATACTGAATCTTGATTCAGCGCTTAGGAACTGACCAATTAGATTAGGCTATGGAAGCAACACAGGATATCACTTTAAGACTATTTGAAAGATGCAAGCATCCGCTGTAAAAGAAATTCATCTTACTTAAGGAAAATATACCAATGAGGTTCAGTAACAAAATTTTCTTTAAAATTGTTTTTGAAGAGGGAAACAAGCCAATCTAGGATGTCAATACATAGATCTTAATACAGCCAACTAACCTGAAGATTTCAGCCTGCTTCTGGCCCTGCTGTAAGCATGTTGAGTTGAAGTACTCTATTCTGGACAAAGTTTGTTTCTGTAAGCTTCACCTAATTTCTGCAGGCACAGGCATTGATTGAATTTCTGAGGTCTAAAAAGTGTTCTTAGCATCTTGAGTAAACTGAAATCCCAAATGGCATGTCCTCAGATGCCACACAAAAATCAAATGAAGGACAGTGTACTTTGCAATGTAGGAAATATTGGAACAGAAGACATGCCTCATGAATCAGCAAAAAGTTCTAAAGCAGGCACTCATGGGGAAGGACACCATGCTGCTTTGTTGCCCAGTAGTCAAAAAAGTGAAAGAATTACAGGAAATGAGTAAGAAATAAAAATCATTGTGCAATCATAAATACAAAGTACACTTTAATCTTTAATATTGGCCGTGTTCTTGGCTGTATTCTCAGCCAGCCTATCTCAAAAATAGTGACATTCTTAAGGATAGAAAAAAGAAAAGATAAAATGATGATTAGATGTAGGAAGCAACTTCTCTGCAAGACGAGGAAATTTCCAATCCAATTTTGTGAAGAAAAGCACAAGAAGCATCTACCATATCACAAATGGCACAGAGGAGGTAAATAAGTATTCATCATTTCTCCCAGTGTAAAGGCTGGGAGCAGTCAATGAAATTGTCGGGGAGTTGCCTTTAAAGCACATAACTGGAAGGCTTCAGCACAGGTCACTGTGTCAAAAAGGAGTCAGACAAATTCATGAGGGGCTAGTCCATCACAGGGATGGATCAAATCACAGGGATCAAATGATGAATCAGGTAGAGCTTGTGGCTTATAAAGTCTTTACCCTGTTGAGTGCTGGAAGCAGAAATCCCATCCTTTAATGTTACACTTAATTTCTTACAACTCTTTTCCTAAGCAACAGCTCTTAGGCACCAGAATCCAACTTTTTGGTCAAAATAATAAAAAAAAAAACCACAAACACAAAAAGACGACAGCTTTCTTTATCCTAGTCTGCAGGAAGGTATGTCTCAATGGTTTTTCACAACTGAGATTCATATTAACTTTTCCATTAGTGACCTGACAGTGAAACTCAGCATAAGCAACAATGAATAAGCTAAAATAAGAATCATTGCAAATAGTTCTGAAAATAAAAGCATGCCGTGACAGTTCCTGAAAGCCCAGAGCAGCAGGCCAGAAATAACACAGGGCATAGGCTTAGCAATTACTTCTGCATCCCCTCCTACCTTCCCCATGCCCAAGCGAAAAAAGATTAAAAAAAAAAAAAAGCCACATCCCCCTTAGAAAAACCCACACACATGAGAATATCAGCTGGCAAAGTCCACAAAACCCTATATTTGAACCCCTCCCTTTGGGATATTTAGGCTACTGTACTCCTTTGAGGAAAAAGTTAAGGTAATGAACAAAGTACAGTAGTACTGAAATGGAGTGTTGACCTTCTTCA